GATGGAACTATCTTTGGAACTATCTGGCAGCAAATTCAAAGCAAAGGTATTTTTTGATGTAACTCATAATTAAATATGGGAATTTGTCACAGGATCTTGTGGAAACTGAAACTCTTTGCTGGTTCAAAAACAGCTGGAAAAATACTTTGAGGGTTGTTTTATAAATAAGACATTATCTCAGGCTCAAAAAAAATCCCTGAACTGCAAATAACTAGAGGCAGGCAGACTAATTCTGAGGAAGTATTCCTGTGTGTGTACCCTAGACTCATGCTCTTCGTTATTGTGCAGAATTTGGGGCTGTAGGGAACTTCTGGTGACCTTTCCCAAGAGATGTGCTTATTTCTTCCCTGTTTATAAGCTACAGAATCACTAAATTAATCTTTAAAGTTTGAGATGGTGTCAGTTCAAAATGGTTGGAAGGTATTGAGGTCCCATAAAGAATTCACTTTTCTGTAATTTTAAGATTTTTAGCACACCTGCTGATTTCACCACTGGTTGATATATAACTATATAGCAGAGGAATAGCAGGCTGAATTCCTTGTAAAGCATTGATAGTGTCATTGAGGCAGGCTATACAAATAGGTATTTTTAATGTCTCATAGTTTCAGGAATATTGAATAGCACTAGGGAATGTCTTTCTAGAAGTGAAAAAATGCTATCAAATGGAACTATTTAGGTAACTATAGATCTATGAATTTTATATCAGTTCTGGGGATAAAAAGAACGGAAAAGCTGATACAGGTTTGGTTAATTGAGATTTAAAGTGTGGAGGCAGCCCTTGTGGGATCTAAAAGTTGGTCCAGGACCAGGTATCACAAACAAAGAGGAATGAGCTGAGCAGATGTATGTGAGGCTCTTGGGCTGAAGGTTGAGTTGCCAGGAACACACAGCTGCATCTGCTGTAACAAGGCTTCCTTTTATGCAGATGCTGCTCTATATCAGACCCTTCCCAAAGCAGTTTATATCTGCCAGTTTTAAATGTTTTTTAAAAAATATAAATAAATAAATAAATAAATAAATAAATATATATATATATATATATACACACACACCAGTATATGAAAGTATGTAGGTCCTTGTGCTTCTCTTTTAAATCAGAGTTTGTACTTATAGAGGCCCAAATGTCTGCTCTGTGCATTGTCACCTGTAGCCATATACTGGTTTTGTGTGAACTGGCTCTGCTTATTTATTCCAAAAAACCCCAAACAAACAAGCCCCCAAAACAAACCCCTCCAACCAACCAAAAACACCAAACAAACAAACAACAACAACAAAAAAATCACAACAACAACAAAAAACCCTAAAAGCATCAACTCTCTATATATGAATACATATGAAAAAAACCACATTAATTTACATGAAAAAAAAATATATGAATATAAACAATATCAGTCAGGTTGGCTTTTTGAAATATAGCTCCTTCCACCTGGAAAGAGCTGCATTCCACTTGCATATTACCCTCATGTATTTATAGTGCAAATTATTTGAAGTGTTTTAGTGCCTTTTTTCTCATTAGAGTAATTTTTGGAGTCAGGGGATTATTTAATTAAGGGCTTGAGAGAGATGTAAATGGCTATGGTGAATTTTGTGTTACTTTATAACTCAAGGTGGAATAGACTTACTGCTTCAGTGATTTAACTATAGGAGCATAAGTTCTGGATTTCGCTCCTTACTTTCTATTAGCTTATATAACTTCTTTTAATAAGAGGATGGATGTGTAAATGTACCTTATGTTTTACCTGTAACATAGTGGTCTGGATAGACGTGAAAGTGAATGCAGAAGATAGGCCAACAGCTCAGCAAGATGTGTATCTCCAAGTCTGAGATCGTATTTGTGAATTTCTTTTAGCTGATAACTGCCCAGAATGGGCAGTTGGTACTTTTGGTTTGTGTCTAATTCACATGATTTTTAAAAGACTTATTTAACCGCACCTTACCACTTTAATATTTGTTACTTGTTTAATTAATTGGGAAGGGGGTCCCGTATGTATGGACCACATATGCCATTTTGCTAAGCAGATGTGCTCTCTTTGGGCAATTGCCTGTTGTTATTTTGTGGTGTGGTTTATTCATTTAATATATACAAACAACTCAATACAGAGTGGAAATGAAAAGATATCCTTGTCAGATGCTTAGTGAACCTTAAACAACTGATTATGATAAAAGTGGAAAAATAAATATTGACTTACTGCTTTCAGGTGATATTACATAACTACACATTTTGGAAAACACTTCTTGACTCTTGGGCACCCAATCTGATTCTTAGAGATGGTTCTGTAAATGGGAAGTAGTTTGACTCAATGATCCTTGTGGGTTCCTTCCAACTCAGCATATTCTGTGATTCTTTGATATTTATTTCTGGATTCATGGAAGGTTAAGTTTTGGAACTAATGATAAACTGTTCATTTAGTTTACATCTGAATACATCTGAATTCTTTGAGAGAGAAGTAATGCACTTAAAATAAAAATAGCATTTATCTTGTTCACTTAAATATTAATGAATACATCTGAAAAAATCCACCTTTTAAAATTATTGTATATTGAAAAAAATATTAGTTGTATCCAGTTCTTCTTCCTACAAGTAAGCTTTGCATTTGTTCTTAACCCTCTTATATTTTTGACGGAGTTTTAAAAGCCTTAAGTGCGGTTCTCAATTCAGAAGTTTCTAAAACACAAGCTTTTCAGTAAACCTTTTGAGATCTTTGAATAATCGCCTGATTTTTCTTAAATGAGGATGTTGCTTAGCTGGCATGTTTAGAGTTTGGAGGGGTGTTTTTTGAGGGAGGGGTTTGTTTGCTTTGTTTTATTTTTAAGCCCTGATAAGCAGTATCAAAAGAGAAGGCAAAAAACTCAGAAAACATTCAACTTAAAACTTCTAGTGTAACAAAACTTCACTCTTTGGTGAAACAAAGGGTGAATTCCAATTATTTTTTCTCTTTTTTTAATATCCAACTCTGAAACTCATCTAGCAGATACAAAGCTGTCTTCTGAAGTCAGCTGACAGAAGCTGTATTGCATTTGCTGCTTGTTGCAATTGTTGAGTTAGAACAGGCTTTGATGGTTCAAGTTATGGAAATCATGAACTGGTTCTATTGAAGCTGACGGCCATATTATTTTTGTTTATATTGTACAGAGCCTACTTCCTCACTTATGATTTTTTTCCTGGTGTGTTGGATGTGAGACAAATTATCAGTGCATGTTGTACAGGAGTGTGAGGAGGCAGGAGGAATTCTTACTGGATCAGAGAGATATGTGAAGTGAGACATGGGAAAAAATAATTGAGAGAAAAAGGACAGAAACGGGAAATACAGAGAGTGCTGGAACCTGTCAGCAACAAAATGGCTGAGTTATGGGTGCACTAGCAAAAGTTGCATCAATTTCTCATTAACTATAGCAAATGGGAAAATGGGAAAGGGTTAGAATAATAGAAATGTCTTTGCCTGTATTAAGCAGAAGACTTAAGTGTGTTTAGAGAAATGGGTTTTCGCCCCAGCCATAGCAGTGAAAAGTGTGACTAGTAGAACAAGTTTCAGATATATAAAGTATGCCACATTAATATGCATAAGATGACTCCTTACTTGCAGAAGTTGTTTCACATATCCTGCCATTATTTTGGGAGTATGTTGTTGACTCCTTATACTATGATGAGCCTTGTCTCATATCAACTTGAGTTTTTTAGTCTCATACTATTCTACCAGTCTTTGGCAAGTTCACTTTCCTAGCACTTGCTAGGATTCTTAAATACTTTGTACGTAAATGAAGTGTTCATAATGGGTATTTGTGAATCACAAAGTAGCCTAAGCAAGCATCAGGCAGAGAGTTATTGTTTTAGTAAGTTAGCAAAGCATAAAAAGAAAAACAAAAACAGAAAGAGCTAAAGGTTATATTAAATAAGAATATAATATAATCAGATGTGCTAAATAGAAACAAGGAAAGTGATACAGAGAGAAGTAGAGGAGATATGTAAAACAATGCTGGAAGAAATATTGAATCTTTAAAAATAGAAAAAAATTGTGCAAAAACAATAAAAGTAGCAGCAAAGATTAAGTTTTTCAAAGTTGCTACTGATTACAAAATTGACCAATGTGATAGTATAAATGGTATGTTAAATTATATAAAATTCTTACTGCTTTTTTAATTTCAAGGTTGTGGGAGTTTTTTGTCTCTGAGCAAATGTATCTTTCTCTATGACTTCTAAGTGTCATTTTTTTGATTAAAAGCACCTATATTAAAAGGTATAGTGTTCATTTTTCAAGCCCTAATAGATGGTAGAATCTCATTCTGAAATGTTTTACATGCTGTTTTCATGTAGAATTCATGTCTATGTGATTCATGTAAACGCTGTAAATGAGGGGAAAAAATGAGATGACCTGCACCTTCTTTTTTTATAGTTTAACTTTTAACTTGGGGACGGATGCCCAGTCTTTTTATTGACACTCTGTACACAGTACCTTGGGGTGCATTAACAAGGTGCTGTTTCCTCCCTGTGCTGTAGTTTACCTTTCATAAATAACTGATCAACACTTCTAGCTGTATTTAATATTCTTTTATATAAACAGAGATTTATTATTCTATAATAAAAGATATCCTCTTGCATCTGCTGCTGTGGTGCAAAATGTTGTTTGCTTTGCCAGATTAAATAGATAATGAAGTGCAGTAAACGTTTTGTGGTACAGAAGCATGGCTTTAAAAAAATTTCTTTCTTAAACAGTCATGTATGGAAATATGTATTAAAATATTTTGAAGGGTTTAAATCTTAGGAAATATTTCACTCTGGTATAAGTCAAGAGGTAATTTAAGAGTTTTTCCTTTGGATAACCTTAGCATCAGAAGAGAGATGTTATTTTTACAGTTTAGGAAATCTAAGAACATCAAATATCTGTCATTGAAAAATCTGAACTTCAGTATTAGTAAAAGAATTTTAAATTAATTGAGTTATTTTTAATAAATCAAAGTATATGTTGAAGTGATAAACAATCAAATATGAAATAAAAGCTTACCTAGGAGATACTTGACTGAAGCTTTGTCTGTGCTCTGTCGGAATATACTGAGAGTCACTCAGCAAATAGGAAGATTTTTTCTATTTGAAATGCATTGTGCACTTTCGTCTTGTGATTTCTTTTTCACGGCGTCTTCTTGTTCACTGCTGCTTTGCTCTTGTGGTATTGGTTTTTTCTAGTTTATTTCCAGGTATCTTCAATATCTGAGTTCTTCTACATTCAGGATTTTTGTTAATTCTGTCCTGATCAGGTAACAGAAAGGACCTGTGAACTTCACATCTTTCCCTCCCAACCAAAAAACATAAAAAAAGGGCAAATGCACCGACCCCAGTCAACTCAAGTATTCAGCACCCATCTAAAAAATCATTTAAGTATTTGCTATCCAGTGAATTCCATCTGTTTTCTGGTGCTATTCCAACACTGAAAAATTATTTCCCCTCACGTTTTGATAGCCTCCACATTTTAGATTTTTGTAGGAAATATACAGGATCGGTAGGCATCAGATCTTAACTTTTAATCCATGCAACATTATTCTGAAGAATGATGGTCTGCCTCTCTCAGCTCCTCATGCTTCTGTCAGACAGAGATGTGAAATGCTGCTTTAGAGAGAGGGGAAAAAAAATCCTAACGGGTGTAGTGTTTTGTCATCTCTCAGGACAGTGAGCACGCGTGGCATCAATGAGTGGCAGATATGAGCTATTCAAGCCAGTCGCTGAACTGACAGGATGACACTTTCATGCATAATAGAACCATTAATTATTTCTTCTGATGGACGGCAGTGTGTACTAGAAGAAAAAAGCAGCAGAGGATAATACTAGGTTTCATAGGTTCTCTGTGTTTTAACAGCTTGTCATTAAGAAACAAACCAGGAAAAAACCTGCTGTTTTGGGATATGATCAGGTAAAACAGACCAGAGCTGTTTTGACAGGGTGGATGTCATTCATAGGGTTAAAAACTCCAGTCAGGTTAAGGTCTATTCAAAGCTCGCTTTTTATAAAAAAGATGTTCTAACGGATCTCCTTTAAAAATCATGGTTTGTGTTTTGCTTCATGTAGCTTTTTGTTTGGGGAGCCTGGGAGTTGTCTTGTAGGTTTTCATTTATAACTTAATTTATAGATTAAACCCACACATTTCTTTTTTTTTTTCCTCTGCAAAAGGAAACATTAACATTTAAAAAAAATGTTTTTCGAAGGATTCTCTGTATGAAGATTATCTTCAAACTCATTACACACTTTGTGTTACAGACACTCACAAATCCATTTCTAATTAATTTAGAAATTTAAATTCTGCAGTTTAATGTTGAGGAACTGCTCTCTCAAGGCTAATATGGAAAAAAATAATATGTTTTGAAGAACTCATTTCAGTGTAGCATAAGCCTTCATAAATATAAAGTATGATGGATAAAATCTTCATTCGCAGTATCAATGTTGTTAAGGGCAACGTATCATGATTGTGGGGAAAATAATGCGATGTTTCAAACTTTTCCTCAAAAGAGAGGTTTCTTTCCTCTCAGAATCTTCTTTAATGTAACTTTTCTTTTTAAATTTATTTCTTTTTTTGCCTTCTGTACCTTGAAGGTGAAGAAGAGATAAGATGATGACTTCTTCAAAACCAGGATATAAACCCCACCAAAAAGATAATGGGAGAAAGGGCTGCTTCTGCTGGTTTGTACTTGTGTACTCTAAGTATGAGAAACTTCTCTCATCCCTGAAAAGGAAAATTTATCTTCATCATCCTTGTTATGGAATGATGAAGAGCATCTGGATAAACCTTTTTCTAGTTTATCCAGTCAAAAATCATGAGCACTGTTATACCCTTATATCACATCAAATAACTTTTTGAATATTTTTGGTCTCTAGCTTGCATTCTATCTAGCTGCACATCGAATCCAAGCCTAGAAATATATGATAGCTGTAACTTTAAATCTAAGTTGTCAATTTTGTCTCTTTAGATAAGAAGTCGAGTTGCCAAGGATACAATGGGTAGATGATATAAAGTCCATGCTGAAAGTACTGGAATGAGGCATACTTTCTGAAATAATATTAACACTTTCTCTCTCATGATTCCTCTCTTCACATATACAGTCTGTGCCTGGAGTTGGTGCCCAAGCTGAACTGCAAGTGTCCTTTTATTTCATAAAAGTGTTGATTCTTCTGAAAATCTCCCAAGTAACTGGAATCTGAGAAGGCACAACCTTTGTATTCTCAGATAATCTTTTGGGAGGCAAACACTAGCCTGGTCTGTTTCCTCCTTTGCAAATCCCAAAACAGAGGACTCAAATATCTACTCTGTGATTATCCTCTGAGGAAGTCCTGAAGAATAAAATAATTGATACATATATATATATATATATATGTGTGTGTGTGTGTGTATAGATATAGATATATCCCACTTTTTTCCTCTCTTCAGGACAAGGTAAACTGAGCTATGTGTGTGTTAGTATCAAAAGTATTCTGCTGTCTCAAACCTGGAGATGAGAATTAGGGTAACTCTGATAAAGCAGCATGTTAAAATTTAGGGGAATGACAATAATTCTGACATCTTGATGTGCAACTTTAGTCTGGGATAAGACATGACTGGTATTAAGAATTCAAACACTGAAGATGAAGGTGCTTAAAATTTTCAACCTTGAATATAGCACAGAGATTTGTATTTTTAGTATGGTGTTCTGAAAATCTTTTCTATTTGGTCAATGCGCAACAGGAATAAGTTATATATAAGATGAATGACCAAAGTGGATATATAACATCTGTGGTGGTGAATGTTGCTGGTACGGCTGAAGTAGTAAAAGCTTCAAGCACACTCCACTAAGCACTCCAAAGGGCCTGTAGTCCATCTTGTGACTGGATGTGTACTGTGTGACAGTCAGTGCTGCACCAGGAGACTACTTCCTTGCACAATTAGGTTATCTTGGACTCACAGGGTGGCCTGATGGGGAACTCCATGTCCATAAATAACATCAGTTGATATGAAGTTCTCACACCTCTGAGGCGGTAGTAAGGAATCACAGGCAATCCCTGTACAGGCTACATCCCTCTTCTTCGTTTAATTTGGATCACAGGCATGTTGTACTTGGACAGAATTCTGTTTCAGTTCCTAGTTTTTTGAGTGGTCTTATGTACACAAACTTACTATGTAGCTTTAGTTAACAATGTGCTGAAACTCTGCACCTGAAAATTTGATCTAGGGTGAATAATGTACTTACCTGCTTTAAGAAGAGAGCTTTATAAATGTTGCATAAGAATGGAGCAGAATACTTTTTTAAAAACATTTAGCATTTTAAGTGTGTGAGCATTTGATTTGAAAGCTCACTGAAATTTCCTTGCAATCTCAGTGATATTTAATATTTACAGTATCAAAGCTGGTAGCTTCGCTAATAGTATTAAGCCATGAATTATCTGTGTTAGTCCATTCACGATTAATAATTATGGTTTCTACAAGTCCTAAAGGCCAAATATTACCCCCACTGTATGAAAGTAATTTGTCAAATATATTGGAAAAAAACATTTTTCTAATAAGACTGAGTAATCAGGAAAGCTGTATCTCAATGAACCATTTTTACAAGTTAGAAAATGTGTGATAATCACTAATGTTGTAAATTAATTGCAAAGTAATTTGAAAAACCACTAAAAGAAGACATAGTGTTAGAGCATTTTCCTTTTTGACAATTTTATCAAGTATTTACCATTTATCTAACAAACAGCTATGCACATGGAAATGTTATTTTTACCATTTTTCTGAATATTGTCATTCAGCTTTTAGAGAGCTGTAAGTTTACCTGCTTCAAGCAAGTTGATAACTAGTGGTTGCTTTTTAGAGAAAAGCAGTGTATTTATCAGAATTTTTAAATTGCCGAATTACTAATGTTCTGAAGAAAATGTCATCATTATTTCTGCTTTTGTTGCCTAGAAGTATATCTTACCTTTGTGAACAAAATACTCTTTTGCCTTCTTTTATCCTTTTTTTTTAGTGGGGGGGGGGCAGGGGGTCTGTGTATTTGTTGTGGTCTCATATCAATAATTATCAATTATTGCAGATTAAATAATTCTCTTTTGTCAATGGACTATTTCATTATCTTCCAGCTAAATGAAGTTCATCTGCAAACTGTACTTTTCAATGTTTTATATAGAATACATTGTGTCTGAAAATAAAAAACAGTCTTCAAAGTTTTAAAATTTTGAAATCAATTGGACAATTGACACAGAATAATTTTTGGCTTAAGAATGTGTCAACCTAAATCTTAAAATTATTTTGAATTTAACAGCAGTATCTGCTCATTCTAATGTAATATCTGCTCATTCATATCTAGTTCTCAGTGAAAGTAGATATTTAGGCATTTCTTAAAATTGTCTTCTCATTAAATAGGTATTTCTGGTAGCCTGGAAAATTATACAGATCAACAAGCTCAAAAGAGAAATGGAATGAGATAACTTAGAATAAAAGGTATTTTTGTTACCTAGGAAATGAGTGAGTAAAAGTACTTAGCACAACTCTTATCATGTCAGACATCTGAGGGCTTTTGTATTTCCTAGATTTTACTTGTGGCAGTAAAGCAAGACTTCAGACAAAGTGGCTTTAATATGAAATTATTTGATAAGACAGAGAAATAGTTTGTTTTCTACTTTTCAAGTCAAAGTGTTGCTAGTAGATCTAGTAGATTAATTTGGATATAATTCTGTAATAAAAATGTATACCACTACTCCTAATAATGATAATTTAACATTATTTCTATTGCTGTTGGTTGCTACTAACATTTTGTTGAAAATTTTTTCAGTAAAATTTTGCAAGAATGACATTTGAAGTTAAACTATTCAACTATTCTTTTTTTTTTTTTTTTTTTTTTTTTTTTGAGAAAGTTAACTGGTGTGCTGACACAGATTCTAATGAATTTGTTTTAGAAGTCATACTTTGAGCATTTTTGTGTATTAAAATTTGCCTGTCCTGGTATGTCTTTTCCCTCATTATTTCAATGTTAGAAACAGTGAAAGATTTCTGCTTTTGTTTAACACAGTGTTAGAAAGGGTAAGTAACGGTTGTTTCACAAATATATGAGCTTCAATTATATTTTTAATCACATTTTAATTAATGGATCAGTATTTGTGAATGTGGTGTCTGTTTGATTCAGCCAAATTACAGCAGGTTGCTGTTACTAAACTGTTCAGACTGGTAGCAAATTATGGAACTGTTTTGAAGACTGAAGAGTTTTGCATAATTATTGTTTGTCAACTTGTGATATCTGATGAATATGTGCTCACCAGATGCTGGCCAGATATCTTTCAATTGACTCTATTTTTAGACTGTTCATGAGCAAAATGGATTATGACCTTGGATTTGTTTTGAATTTTGCACTATTTTAGCAGCCCTACTCCTTACCTGTGTTAAAGGCAAGTTTTTCAGGTTTTGTGGGGTTGTTTTTTGTTTGTTTGTTTTGTTTTGTTTTTTGTAAAGGTAAGGAGCAATAACACTGTGACCAAAAAATTTGGAAGACTTTGTGGGGGACCACATCAAAGATTTTAAAGTTTTGCTTATGCATATTCTTCCTTTCTCTCTCAATTTGATCTTTCTAGTTGCCATAACAACTTCATAATAGCGGCACATTTACTGCTGTAGGTTGTGTCAGCACTTGCATTAAAAGCTACTGTTTTCAGGAATTTCTAATTTATTCATAGGCTTAAATATGGCATATAGTAAGTCTATGTAATTGGTTTTAATGTATGGTACCAACTTTTTGAAAATTGCTGTTGTTTGAGCTCTGATGGCATGTATAAAATAGCATATTGTTCCAAGTGGCTTTTTTTCTTTTTTTACTGAGAAGCAGCAAAACATTTTTAGTCTAAAATTAATTTTGACTGGTTCCCATCTGCCAGAGGTATGAGAATCAACATGTTCTTTTGCTCTACCACAATG